TAATAAATGTGTCAGTCTCTAAGGTGCCACAAGTACTCCTGTTCTTTTTGCGGATACAGACTAACACGGCTGCTACTCTGAAACCTCTCTATTCTATATGCATCAGGCTGACAGGTCCCGGCCTGGAGAAAGGGGGTAGGGGAACAACCTGTTTTTTCCCTGCATTCTAGAGGCAGGTGGAGCCAGTTTAAAAGGGACACCGTCCACCTGAAAATACTTTGTCCCTGTTATTCATCGTCCTCCTTCAAATCCCTTAAAACTCTCCTTTGCCATGATGCCGACACAGAAACGTGACAACGATTAGGCAGCTGACGTGCAGAGACCCCTGCTGATCAATATTGTCTCATGATTTCCTTGTCCTCTCCCACCTGTCTGTATCCATCTGTCGTTTAAAGTAAATTCTTTGCGGCGGGAACCGTCTTTTTGTTCTGGGTTTGTGCAGCACCTAGAGAGACGGGATCCAGGTCCTGGGCACAGGGCCGGCTCTGGCTTTATTGCCGCTCCAAGCAAAAAAAACCAAAACAAAACACCACAAACCAGGGGCGGCAAAAAACGGCAAAGCAAAAAAAAAAAACAACAACAAAAAACCCTGCGGCGTGGCCGGAGCCTGGGTGCAGGGGGACTCCCTGCGTTGCAGATGGGGGGGAGGGAGCAGGGGGAGAGAGATAAGGGGGGCGGCCAGGGCTTCAGGGGGGCGCTGCCACGCGGCCCCTCCGGCCGTGCCCCCTGCTGGGAGGGCTCTGCGCTGCTCCCGTGGGCTGGAGGGAAGGATGCAGGCTGCCCTGCTGGGCTTGCTGCAGGACGCTCCCGTCCTCTGCGCCGCCACCCCCACCGCCCCCTACAGGGCAGCCGGAGCGGAACACACACTAAAAAAAAAAGCGGCCGTGCGGCTGGCCCTAGGATTGGGCGGAATGCCGCCTCGTTCAGTCTGCCGCCCCAAGCACCAGCTTGCTCGGCTGGTGCCTGGAGCCAGCCCTGCCTGGGCATTATCATAATACAAATAACAATGAGTTATAAGAAATACCTGAGATTGCAGGAGCAGAAAGAAGTTAGCAAAAAAAATCCTCTTTTTCCAACCTGGTTTCCTTTGTGCATTCAGCAGCATTTTATTTAGGGTTAATTTCCCTGTTTTCCCTGGATAGCCGGCTGGCCAACTTCTCCCGTGCAGTAACCACCTTTGTAAATTTCAACAAGGGAGCAGAAAAATCCCTTATACATATTTTTAGAAGAGTTTTATGAAATCAGGACATAATGTCGAAAGGGATTTTTAAAAATTAGTTAATGTCAAAAATAATCTAAATTAACACCAGGCCTTTAAGTAGAGTGTCCAATTGGCTTATGAATAGGAGTAAAATAATCCACTTAGATCCATTTACACTGACTGATGTGCATTGCTAGAAGATAGGCCTGTCTCCTGGTTTAGGGTGTTCTGTGGGCAGTGATGTAGAGGCAGAGTTAAGGCTGTTTGGGTGATCTCACCTGTGCATTCCCAATGTTTAACTGTCAACATTATCTCTCGACCTCGGATATTAACTCCTTAAATAATTCTTTAAATCCAGTTTGTCACTCTTCTTGATCTTCATTTTATTTTTGCATGACTCGTGATTCAGATGATGAAAAATTCCTGACGTCAGTTTCATTTTGGTAGAAGGCAGTTTCACTCAGAGATTTTCTGTGCTTTGGGTTCCCAAATGCTACAGGTGAACGTTTGTGCATTTAAAAAAACCAATTGTTTTCACTGAAGTTTATTATTTTTTTTTAATTGGGCAGACAGTCTACTGGCCTTAGGTTTTATAAAAGCTCATTTTTACACCATTTAAATGTTGCCTGATTTTAAATGGGAATGCCCATTCACATGGAATTCTGGGTTGGATTTCTGGGCTTTATAAGAAAAAGCTACCAAGCTTCTCTCCATCTGGCAGTGCTGGGTTATTTTTCATTATGTACAAATAAGGGGGCAGACAATTACGTTGAAAATTTAATACTGATAAAAGCAGTTTCTTTTCTTTTAGACAGAAAAATTAACCTGTGGAACTTGCTGCCATTGGATATCATTGAGACCAGGAGTTAGCAGGATTCAACAGAAGTTTAGACATTTACATGAGTAAGAAACACTGACAGATATAAAACATGTTAGAAAGGATATGAGACCTCATGCCTTAGGGCTTAACACTGCCAGGGTCTGGGAAGAAACTGCATTAAAGGGCTGATTATTCTATAATTGACCACTAGGAGGAGTCTTACACCTTCTTCCAAAGCATTTGGTATGGGCCACTGTCGGAGACAAGATACTGAACTAGATACACCTGTGGTCTGAACCGGTCTTCCTATGATCCAGAATTCGTACCTTCTTATGGAATCACTGACCACCTTAATTCCAGCTTAAAGCCGCAGCATTTTTCCTGGGCATTATATTATTTGGAGGGACCCACTTAGCAGCATGTGCATGTGTCAGCCGCTGTATACTGGGCCCTATACAGGAATTCGCAGTGTAGAGCCCTCAGTGAGATAATTAGCATCAGGAGAAGCCAAAGACACTTTGATGCTTCTCCAAGCCTCTTGCACCGGCAGAGCCAGGCTAGAAGTCTTGTCCGGACTGAAGGAGAACGCCAGCTCCAGTCCCCAGGGCCGGCTCTGGCTTTTTTGTCGCCCAAGGCAAAAAAGCCTCCGGCCGCCCCCCCCCCCCCCCCGCGGGGGGGGGCGGCCGGGGCCCCGGGGGGGGGGGGGCGAGCCCTGGCGGGGGCTCCGCTCTTCCCCCGGCGGCCGGGGGGAGGGCGCTGGGGGGGGAGGGCGGCCAGAGCGCCGGGGGGAGGGCGGCGAGCCCCAGCTGGGGCCCCGCTCTCCCTGGCGGCCGGAGCGCCGCGCCGCCCCCCTCCAGGTGCCGCCCCAAGCACCAGCTTGGGTGCTTGGTGCCTGGAGCCGGCCCTGCCAGTCCCCCCCGAACTTTGGGGGAGTTCAGATCTGGCTAGAATGGGCTTGGCTGGTCCTCTCCCTACAATGGGCCAAACTGGAACCCTGGGTCCAGACCCGGCCCTGAAAACTACATCTTCAGCCCAACTTTTCAGCTCAGCCCCTCCCGTGGGAAGACTCCCTGCACGCCGAGAAATGCCATGAGGAGAGACTGCCTCCTGGGCCTGGGGCATTGCCAGCTGGAACCCAGCGGCTCATGAACATGGAAAATGAGCTGTTTGTGGCAGCCGGACTTTTTAACCCCCCTGGAAGTTCCAGGTTTGAGTTCTGGGTCAAAGGTCGAGCTGGCTTTTATCTGCGTCTGGAATAGCTCCCCTGACCCCTGGAGATCAACCATTCCAACAGACAGCCCCTCAGACCGAGGGGAGGGGTTAGTACCAGCAAGTCTCCAACCCTTCACCTGAGGGGCGGGGTTAGCCCTTGAGAGACTCCGCTCCTTACACAGATGGGGCGGGGCTTGCACGTGAGAGACTCCACCCCTTAAGTGAAAACAGCCATGACACACGACCCATTTAACCACCAGCTCTTGAGCAAAAGGGGATTCCAACCGCCTGGCAGATTCTGAGGGCGCAAGTGCACCAGAAAAGAAGTTTTCTTTGCCCTTTACACGGCCCCAGCGTGGGGAACACGCCCCCTCCAACACAGCCCTTCTCACTTCAGCGCCGAACGGGAAAAGCCAACACAGCTGCTCTCGGCCATCACCGTCAGCCAATCAAAAGCCACTTCCCTACCGCTTGGGATGCTGGGACACTGGAGGAATAAGGCCTCCCCCCCCCCCAGCAAGAATACATCCTCTGAGGCTGCGTCTTTGGGAAGGGGATCCCGGTGACCAAAGGGAACACAAGCGCGCGGCTCTGATACAGACGAAGGGCCGCCTGCAGTTCTCGGTTATGTCCTTTTCAATCCGGAGTGACTCCACTGGCGGGATGGGGGGCAGAACGGGGAGCCCCGGCTTAGAACAGGGCACATTTTGGGTGTGGGAAGGGCATTCATGTTTTATATTCCACAGCAAAAAGCACAGTAAACAAGATCCGGGCCCAAGGCAGGCGACATGACGCACTCTGTACGGGATTTCCACCTGGGACATCCCTTTTACGGCCTTCAGCCCTAGTAAACATCTCTGTGTATTATACAGATACCTTAAAAAACCAGTAACACAACGGAAATATTTAAACCCACTACGTAGCATCGAGGGGCCCAGTTAGCTTCCTCCGCACACAGGGATGGAGCCTTCAAAGGGGAAGGCCGAGTGTGTGCTTGTTTTGAACTGGTCCCCGTCCAGGAGGATCTCCAACAGGGGCGTTAATAGAGAGAGATCAAGGGGGACTACAAGTTCCAAAATGCAGGGGACTACAAATCCCAGCAGGCAATGCTTCGTGAGAGCCGCATGGAGCCCTACAAGCTGGGACTCCTTGCCCTCCAGCAGCTTCCGTCCAGCACACCAGGCCTCTGGTTCCGGGGCTGGGTAACGTGGCCCCGCCCCCAGGGATGCATCCCGAGGAGGGTTGTGCTGATTGGCTGAGTCACTGAGGGTGATGCTGGTGACAACGTGTTACATGCGCCGCCCCTCCCTGTACAAAGTCTCCACCTCTCCTGGCAAAGGGCGAAGATCCGGGAGCGACGCGGCTCCAACGCTTCCGAGAGTTTAATAGACAGACCCCTAACTAAACTCTCCGGCCGTCTATTACAGCTACCACGGCTCAGAGCTGCCAGCCCCTTCCTTTCAGCCCCTGGGGTGGTTCACGGGACAGCTGGAAGCTCCTGGGATAAGGAAGCCACGGGATCTTCTCTCTGCCCTCGGAGAGGCTCCTCTCTCTATAGACCCCCAGCCTCCCTGATACCAGGCCATCAAGGGACGTTTCTCTCCTTCTCCAAGGCTCATCCCCACCCCCAAGCCAAAAATCGGGGAGTGAACGCAGCACCCAGGTGGGTCAGAGCTGCCGGTGGAGGAGTCCTCAAAAAACTCCATGCAGCAGGGTGAAGAAGGGAACAATCCACGACTCCATCTGGGAGCTGGGACATCCTGAATCCATCCCACAAGCCCCGCAGGAGCCCGGCCTCTGGGGGCATCACCAGCAAACGTCCGTTTGGTTTGGTTTCCATCACCCGCGGAGCAATAAATAATACCTGGCGGGCCCCATCCAGCTGCCGTTCAACCAGCTGAGACGAGGGCTGGCTCCCTCCCGCGGGCAGGACGGGCCGAATGTCTCGGGTGGGAAGATCGGCAGGGAGGGGCTCTGGAAACCCAGGATGGGGAAGGAGTTCAAAAGCAGCCACAAGCAACCAAGGAAGCGTCAAGGTTTGCAGCAGAGAAGAACCTGCCTCTGACCAAAAACCGTCCCTGGTGGGAACGTGGAGCGTGAGCTTTAAACCTACGCCTGTATGCTGGGGCTCTGCAGGCTCCTCCATGGCCTGTGTCCCGATGAGGTGATCTCCAGGGCTTCTCCAGGCGTGGAAAGGGTCTGGGTCCCTCCTGGCCTAAAAGTCTGAATCGGCATCCAGCAGCTCGGCGTTCATGAGGTTTGTCTGGGAGTGGATGGGGGCGAAGCCCGCCCTTCTGCCAGGAGTCCTCGGCCCGCAGGGGATGCTCCCGCCGGGCAGGGCGCCAGGATCCAGGCCCGCGGCGGGGGGCCGGAACGAGCCCGTGTGCTGCTGGCGTGCCAGGAAGCACCTCACGCTGCCCTCAAGGGCCAGATCTTCCTGGGGACCAGTCTCGGGGCAGAAGGGGTGGCTGATCAGATGGAAGGCGTCGTGTTTCCTGGACCTGGCGGGGTTGTCCCGGGGGAAGAGGCCTTCGTGCTGGGAGATGCTGAGCCTCAGGCCAGGGTAGGAGCCAGGGGGCGGCACCTCTTCTCCAAGCTGAGACTCCCTGGGGTTGGAGACCAGGCACTTCTGCCTTGGCAGCTTGGGCAGGCGAGGGACGGCGCTGCGGGCCGGCGGGGTGAAGTAGCCCACGTCGCAGATGGCGGGCCCCAGGGGGCAGACTTCCTTCTTCTTCCTCCTCTTCTTCTTCTTGCGGCTGGCTCGCTTCTCCAGCTCGGGCGAGATCTCTGCATCCACCACCCACAGGTTCGCCCTCTCGTCCGGCGGCACTGCGGGCACGAGAGAGGGGAGATGGGGTGAGAGGGGCCTTCCCAGGCTGGTTCGCTGTTAAAACCCCACGGGAATCTCAGCGACCGGGACGGCTGGAGACAGACCCGAGAGCGGGCACAGCGTGAACGTGTGCGATGGATCCTTGTCCTCACCCAGCTCGGTCACTGCACCCGTCCCAGCCCAGAGATTCCCGGCCGCCCCAGCCCTGCCAATGGCCCTCAATCCCAACCCCTGCTCCTTACTGGTCCCGTCATGGGGCCCCTTACATGGCTCTGCCCATGCCCTGAATCCCAACTGGCAGCCCCCTGCAGGCCCCAGCCCTGAGCTCCCCCCATCAGCCCCCCACGCTCCTCACTCCCGACCTGCAGCCCCCTGCAGGCCCAGCCCTGGGCTTATCCCCACGCTCCTCACTCCCGACCTGCAGCCTCTGCTATCCCAGCCCTTGGCTTATCCCCAATAACTCCCCACGCTCCTCACTCCCGACCTGCAGCCCCCTACAGGCCCAGCCCTGGGCTTATCCCCACGCTCCTCACTCCCGACCTGCAGCCTCTGCTATGCCAGCCCTTGGCTTATCCCCAATAGCTCCCCACGCTCCTCACTCCCGACCTGCAGCCCCCTGCTAGCCCAGCCCTGGGCTTCCCACCACACACAGCTCTGCCGGTGCCCTTCAGTCCTGACTTGCCTCCCTTCCCTGCGCTACCAGGCCTGCCCCTCCCCTGAGCAGAGGTTGTTTGGGACGTCAGGTGGCATTTTTAACCCTGGGTTATTACAATTCATAGCGTCTCCGCCAAATTCCAATTCACAGAATTACATCTCCCCTGGTTCCACACAGCAATCGCCGTCCCTGCCTTTCCTGTGCCATGAGCCCACTGAACAGCTGCCACGTTCCACCCCAGAAGTGGCTGCATTTCCATGGCTGTGGCGCAATCCCTCTCCTATCCCTGTGATTTCACTCCTTGTATCCCGTCTCACAGCACACAGACAGGGGGTGGATATCACCACCCTCGTTTTACGGGGGGGGAAATGGTGGCCCAGTGTGGAGCAGTGACTTGCCCCAGGTTAGTGTCAGGGCGAGGAGAAAAACCAGAGTCTCCTGATTCCCAGTCCAGTGCTTCCCATCTAGAAGTGGAGAGCAAAGCTGGCCTTGTGGCTAAGGCACTGGGACGCAGGAGTCCTGCATTTGATTTCTGGCTCTGTGGACCTTCATCTTTCTGCCTCAGTTTCCCAACTGCCGGAAGCTAGATTGCAGGGCCTGTCTCTCGCTGTGGGGCTGAGCAGCACCCACCACCCAGGGGCCCTGATCTCAACAGAAACCTCTAGGTGCTCCTGGGACACAAATTACCTTGCGCAGACGCGCGCGGTGTCATGACCTCATCGCCTGCCCATCTCCCTCACCACCCCGCGCTTTCCCAGGGACTCACCGGGTGTCGCCACGGGCGTGACGGAGATGTCCTGCGGCAGGATGGCCCCTCTCCTGGCCACCATCTTGGTGACGTGCTGGGCCCAGGCCGAGGATACGTCAGCTGAGGGCTCGTTGATGTCGAAAGCCAAACCAGCTGGGGTAAAAGCCAGAGAGATTCTTACAGCCCCGCTCAGCGGAGGGGGAAATCCTGCAGCCTGAGCCGGGTGTGTGTGTGTGGGAGGGGGGGATCTTCACCGATTCACCCCAATCTCCTGCCCCGGCTGATCCCACAAGCAGCCCGTTCTGGAACCAACGCCCTGCGTTCCCGTGGCGACCAGGAGGCCTCCCATTCCCACACGATGTCCCCAACCCCCAGAGGCTGGCCCCTGTGCTAACGGCCCTGCAGAGCGAGGATGCGTTTTCCAGCTGCCCAGGACCTGAGAGCCCAGAGGGTCTTTGCCTGGCTTTTACATCACGAAGCGACGGCCAAACGGGCCAGAAGTCAGCCTGAGGGGCGTCTGCACAGGCCTCCCTACCCAGCCCTCCAGACAATTTTGCAACCCCGATGTGGCCCTCGGGCCGAAAAGTTTGCCCATCCCTGGTGTGCACAGACAGGCAGGATGAGCCAGTGGTTAGGGCACAATTCCCTGCTCTGCCACAGACTTCCACGGGCGAGTCACTTCACCGCCTTCTGCCCGATGGGGATAAGAGCCCTGCCCTCTCAGGGACGAGCAAGGGTGATTCCACTAAAGACTCGGAGGCGCGTCCGATACTACAGCAACGTGGGCTGCACAAGTTAGCTAGACAGAGACGTTCGCCCCCTGCGGTAACGTCCTTGGACTCATGGAGTTACGCCAGGTGGGAACTGGATCCCAGGAGCAGATCTGTTGGGTAGGGCAGGGCCATTTCTGAGTCAGTCACTTTTCTGACGATGCTTTTAAGGCGTAAATAAATCCTGCCGCTTGCCGGCTCCCTGGCACGGGGCCGGGATACTGCTCTAGGGCAGCGGTTCTCAAACGGTAGCAACCTGCCGACCCGTATTTTGATTTTAAATTTTTCATGGACCCCCAAGGCTCAGCCCCAGGCCCTGCCTCCACTCCACCCCTTCCCCCAAGGCCCCAGTCCACTCCTGTCCCTCCTCTTCCCTGCTCCCCCGAGTGCACCCCCCGCTCCTCCCCTCCCCTTCCAGTGCCTGCTGCACGCCGCTAGACAGCTGTTCCCCGGCGTGTCGGAGGCGCTGGGAGGGAGCGGGAGGAGTTGATCAGTGGGGCCCGTGGACCTCCTGGCCCCCAGTTTGAGAAACGCTCTAGAGAGATAATAGCCATTGATGGCTATTAGCCAAGTGGTCAGGGATGCCACCCCAGGCTCTGGGTGTCCCTAGCCTCTGTCTGCCAGATGCTGGGAATGGACGAGAGGGGACGGCTCACTCAGCGGTTGCCTGTTCTGTTCATTCCCAGCACCTGGTACCAGCCACTGTCGGCAGACACGATACGGGGCTGGATGGACCATTGGTCTGGCCCAGTCTGGCCGTTCTTATGGACTAGTTGCTGGCCCCTTTCAGGAGCACAGAGATTCAGCCAAACACTTAATAACAAGACAGCGGAATGGGCGCGATCAGACTGGGCGTTACGGGCTGGTCTCAGCCTGCGACACTCTGGGGCAACAGAAGCTGGGGTGCCCCCGTGCGCTCTCGGCAGCGCCCTCTAGTGAGGGCGGAGGGAGGTGCCTTGCTGAGAACCACGGCCCACGTGCCCCACAACAAACCTGGGACCACAGAAGCATCTTCCCCCCCAGATTGAGAAGCAGTGGGGGCTGCAAACCTGCCATGGAAGAGGGGGCCCGAGCGCCAGGGGCGGTGGTGTGTGAAGCCCCCATTGTTCCCCCCCCCCCCCCCCGGGACGTACCCACGGGCCCGTCGTGCGAGACGGTGCGCATGCTGAAGGACACCTCCTGCTCCGGGTTGCGCAGCAGCTCCTTCCGCTTGGAGAAGGCCTTGGCGATCATCTTGCTTTTCTTGATCCTCTTGGGCTCGTCGTCGCTCTGGCCGGTCAGCCTGTGGGGGAGGGAGGGCTGGCTCAGCCGGGGAGGGCACGGCACTGATCCTCTCCCAGCGGGGGGCTGGAGATCCCCCAGAGTGGGGGTGAGGAGTGCTCCTGGGCTGCCCCCCTTCACCCCTCTCCCGCTGAGCCAGGAAGCCAGTTTGTCTGTTACCAAGGGAACCCCTCCATCATCCTAACCCCACGGACTGGGTGTCCCGCTCCTTCCCCAGATTCCCCCTCTCCGCACCACGGCGGCGGTGGGGGGAGGTGGGAGGGAGAGACATGGACGGTAACACGCTGGCACCACGCCCCTTCCCACCACTCTGACTGGGTGACGGGGCTGGAAAATGTGCCTAAAAGACATTTCCAGGGCGGTGGCCAGGGGCGTCGGTGTCAACGAGACTCGGGCCCCATCCCCGGGGTCACCCCTCCAGGCGCCCCCATCCCTCGGCACAAAATGTCTTTGGGGGACTGGCGGCAGCCCCCCTGCAGCTGTGGGCCAAATTCACACAGGCGACCCCCCGCCATGCACCCCCTAACTCCGGGATCTGCTCCTTCTTCGCAGCGCCACGCGGCTCCCCACGCAGCCAGGCTGAAAGGGGGCACTGCAGAATGGGGTCTCAGCCCCCCTGCTCTGGATGGGGGAATACCTTCCCCTCCCCCACCTCTTTAATGGGCATCTGGGGCTGGAGGGGCAGCCTGAGACCGACGCCCCACATGGAGCCACATCCAGGTATGACGCGGGCAGCGCTGGCTGCACAAACTCTCCCCTCCCCCCCGCAGATGTGTGTCGCTCCCGAACCAGAGGGGCCGTAGCTGGGGGGGCCCAGGGAATTCAGCCTCCAGACTAGGAGCTGATGAGCCATCCCTGAACTAGCCTGGGTGAGCCACATCTGGTGATGGGCCCGTCCTGCGCTAGGCTCCAGCCAATCCACGAGCAGGTCTGGTGACCCTCGTTCCCAGCCCTGCTCCGACCCCAGCCTCGTTCCCAGCC